TCTTATTAGTACTACTATGAGTGAAATATTTTTAAAAATCTAATCACATGTACTTTATGAGGTAACAAAAAATGTGAGGTAAAGTATATTTGAAAAACTCCCTTTGAATTATCACGTATAGTTTTAGTTTTCTAGTAACAAATTTCTAAATTTGAAAAATAGTATATTTAATTAAGATAAAGAATAAATCCTTCTTCCAAATTTTCCGAAAATCCATAACATCTTTTAATCACCCACAATCTTATTAGGTCCCTGCAGAAGGGCTTCACCGCCTACTGCAATAACCCCCCCCCCCTGTCGGGAAACTATGACATACAAAAAAAGAGAGGAATTGAAAGGCCATTATAAAAAGAAACAATACAATTTTTTCAACAATCTGACTGGTTTGGATGTTTTTCATCTTACCTTCCAATATCCATTTATCATTGAGGGGTGAGTAGCCAGATTTTTCAGCAAAAAATAAGCACCGTTTAAGTATTTTTCACGCACTCAACAGATATTTTTAATCACTTTCCAAAAAAAAAAAAAAATCATAATTAGGATCTATGGAGTAATAAAAATTATTTCTTTATATCTTTTAAAGTTCTTTTTATAAACATAAAACCAACAAAATTCAAAAACATCATTTTCAAGGACTCTACATAAGACTAATAGTAACCGACCTACCCCCGAAGGAGTTTTCGGATAAGGGTTTCACCCGTTGTCACGTGAACTAAACACTACAAATTACAGTAAAGTAAAATCAAAACCAAAAAGATTGATACACATAGGAAAAAATCACGAAATCGAAAAGATCAAACAGATAAAAATGAAACAGAATCCTCAAAAAAAGTCAAAAGCGCTTAAAACACCTAAAATTAACCAGCAATAAAAGTGTCAAAAATACAGGTAAAAACGCATAAAAAGTTAGGTCAGGTAAAACAACAAATGGTAAAAATACGAGAAATCTCTTTAAAAACATATAAAACAAAAATAAGCTTAATAAAATAAGACTTTACATAAGCATGATAAAGTAACTAGTTTCTGATAAATTTTGCAGAGAAAATTATGAAAATCATGCATTTTTTGTAATTTAGAACAACAATCAATACGGCAATGAAAAAATCTCCTTTTAAAAGATAGAAAATCAAGCACTTTTTACAAACCCCGGATTAAAAAAAGCACCTTTAAGGGCTTTTAAATAACGTAAATAAAAAATAAGCACTTTTTAAAAACGCTATACGCACCCTGGAGAAAACGTAGCGATTGACCATTGATTTAACATTTCGATGCTGTTTTGTTTCTACCTATGGGGGGTGCCTCTAAATGATGTCACACGTGGAGGGGAGGAAGAGGGTTCGTGAAATTGTGACAGTTTCTAACAAAAAGGAAGGGTAGTATAATAAAGTTTGCTTTAAAAAAAAACATTTAAAGCAATAAATTTAAGCACTTTATTTTTTATCAAAATAAGTTTATAAATAAAATATATTATTGTTATAATCACAAACGTTATTGTTACACACAGTTGTTTAAAAATAAAATAGGAAACACAATCTCTAAAATAATTCTTTATATATTTTGAGAGCTACAAATATATTTTTATGTAGTAAGTGACAAGAGGAGGTAGGGGTGAGTGTGACATTTGGATATGGATGGTGAGTGTGACATTTTGTGATAAAAGGGTGGCTGAAAAGTACTTGGGAAAAAAATGTGTGAGACATCATTTATGAATGATCTCCTAACCTAAATATTAATTTGTGACCCACAAGATGCATATTTTTTTACATCATATTTATCAAAAATTCTGAAATTGAGCACACATTTTAGAATTATAGAGGGAAAAAAAATGAGTTATAGGAAAGGATTATTCTAGGATTATAGGATGAAAAAAATTCATTGAGAAGGCCATTTTTTTCCCACACTATCTAATTTATTTACTGCATTAACAAAGTCTGAAACTTCATCTAAGAATGAAATTATTTAAACTTTGTCGCTTTTAATTCACAGATTAAATTTTTCAAATATTGAAGGTTATTCAGAACAGAATACCACGATTTTAAAATGGCAGCTTTCTTAACTTGTTAAGCGTATTTGAAATTCTTATGGGCAGCGTTTTTAAAAAGAAAAAAACAGAATTATTCATATTTTGTTACAGTTATATCTTGAAATTATAAATATATTTGAAAAACTCTTCTTTACAAAGTCGCTATTTTGTTTAACTCGTTGACCGATTTAAAATTCCAACACATGCTATTTAAAATTTATAAGCTTAGAATTACAAAATACACTCAAAAGATTAAATTTATAATGTGACAATCCTAAAAATATATCAATTTTAACTCAGTTTTAAATTTCACTCAATATCACTAAATTTTAAACTAAAGGTTAAAACTAAGGAGAAGAATCAAAGGATGAACCTAACTTAGTTTGGCAATCTGCCAGGTGTTGCATAAGGGGGATAAGAACGAAAATTATTTTGTCTTTTAGGGAATTAATTCTATTGTCATTTTAATTTAACTGTCAAAATACTCACGGGTGAAAAAGAAAAAGAATGCTGAATTTCTATTAAAATCATTTTGCCAAATATATATATATGTAAAAAAAACTTTAAAATGCAATAAACAAAAAAAGTACGCTACATTAGAAACATGCATAAGTTAAACAATCAGTTAAATTTTATGAATTTATCTGTAAATCAAACCACGTTTAATCTTTTCGAAAGCTTATTTCATCTAAAGCGTGACGTCAATAAACTACTATGAAAATATGTATATAGTAAGGTTCTTTATAGTTATAGTTTTTTCCCCTCCCGATTTTAAAATGGTAATTGTGTTCTCCCTAATAACCTGTAATGTTACGTAATTTATCTTCAGTGGTAGATGGATCATGGGATGGAGTCAGGCTAACCATGGGACATTTTCGTGGTTTTCCTCCCCATGTAACGCAGATACGAAGTAGTTCTATCAAAAAGTTCTCCACGGAAGCAAATTTCTCCCATTACTGTATTCAAGAGTTTCCCTGTCTTCTGGATTGAGTTCTAAATTACAAGGCTAAGGAGTTGAACATTGATGGACGTAAACTCAAATTTGGGTCTGATGTTCAACGACGGCTATAAAGTATAAAATAACCTGCAATGAGCTTTGGGGGCTCAAGGGATAGAGTATTCGCCTTCCAATGAGGTTGAACTGGGTGCGAATCCTAGAGATGGCTGGTGGATACGAATACCGCACCCGGTTCGCACCGACCACAATGCTGATGTAAAAATATCCTTAGTGGTAGACGTATCATAGGTTTGAGTTCCCTTGCTGTCAGGCAAANCTGTTTTCTCTGCAACCTTAAATATACCTCAAATATACCTCAAAACAACCTTAATACCTCAAAAATACCTCAAATCAACCTTAAATATACCTTAAATTTTCATAAGGGATTACACAAAACTGATGCGGCTAATGGAAAATTTTTACCCTCGTGGATGGAAATTCGCTTAAGAGTTCTCATTGCTAAATATGGGGCACTAACAGTTCCGTATGTGACGGTGTTTAGCTGCTCCTGTTTCCACAAATTTCTTTTTAATTTTCTGTGATTCTCTTCAATGTCAATAAGCCGGTGCATACGACGAATGTCTGCCGTGAACGCACTTTCCAAATCTCACTAGCGACGAAAAAATATCATCCTGAATGACTCCACTATTGTATCGAATGGGGCTGAGAGAATTTCGATCAGGTAGTTAAGGTCGATGCATTGAATACTATTCGTAGTTTTGTTGTGCTCNCATCACGTTCAGAATGACGTTTTAGCTGACGTACACTAGCAATAGTATTAAATTGCATTGTCAATGAAAATCTCATGACAAGGTAGATTTTAGCTGAGCATACGAAACGCTGCAAACGAAAACCTTATAATTACGTAGATTTAAGATGATTTTCATCTTAGAACTAGCTTTATTCAAGGTTTTTTTCCCGCTTGAAAACCTTAAGACAACCTCGTTTTATGGCTGTTATGTAGAAGGTTTTTTTCCAAGGTTTTGGATTAGGGTAATGTGCGTAGAATAGAGCAGATTGTCGCAGACCTCGTTTTAAGGTTAGAGGGTTTACATGTAAACCGTATAAAAACCCTTTTTATGTTTACATGAAAAGGTTTTTGTTGGGTGAAAAAAACCTTATATTGCTATCTGGGATGTACCTCGAATCTCACAAAAACTGACCAATGCTTCCGAAATGGTATGGAAACTATTTTTTCGTCTTACGCGTTAACACGTAATGTTCTTCGCATATAGAATTTTTCTTACTTTTAGGTAATTCATTTCCTATCTCATCGATCTTCCAAAATTTTCTCAAATTCGAATTTAATTCATCTGTACCTCATATTAAAACGCTATAACTAGAATTAAGTTAATCGAATCTGGAGACACTAATTTAATATTTGCTTTCTTTCGTTTTCTTTGAAAAAGGTTTTCGCTTAATATTTCTGCTAACCTAATCATGACAGCAAACAAAAATGTAGAAAATAAGGTTTATAATTTGCTTGTTTTTAACCTAAATAACAATATTTTTTAAAAAAGATTTAAAAATCATTTAGTTTTCCTTTAAGGAGGAAAGGTTGGAAATTGAAATATTTTTACGTCATTGAAAAAAGGTTTTTACTGCAAATCTTTTCGTGACAATGAAAATAAAGTTAAAACACAAGGTTGTCGTAAGGTTACACGCTTTCTGAGATTGTTTTTGCAATGAACTACCGTTAAATGTAGTTGAGGAATTTTCATTTTCTTAATTTAAGAAAATATATTTTAAAAGTTCCATTCTCTTTTCTTTTAGAACTAAGTTTGATGTAGTTTTCAATTCCATATTATTTCCAAACTTAAAAGATTTTAATCTATATGAAAATCAAGAAAGACCACCAGAATAAGTATGCCAAGGGTGAAAGCATGCGATGTGTTGCCATAGGTAGACAGTTCTGCTCTACGCCATCTGTAGTCCATTTCGATAATCATCAATCCTACTTGTGACCAGGAAAGTTTGAATATCTACGTGGCAACAGCTTGATTTTTATTTCCCCGGTGAATTGCTGCCATTTTTTTTCTCGTCATTTGTCGTCATTTACTAATGTTATTGTAGAATGTGTCATTAATCTGTAGTGTAAAAGTTTCGTTTAGTTTTTTAAAACAAATTAAAACTATATTTAATGCCTTTATATTAGAAATGCACTGGTATGTTATTTTATAGATATAAAAGAACAAATGTATTAATTAACAATAGATTCACTTTGCAATATTTTCCCCCATCGCTGTGTTTATTTACGGATCAGCGATTTCTTTCATTTAATTAATTACTCTCATGTCTAAATGTTTATTGAATAAAATAAATTGCGAGAAATTATAGTTTTCATTTCATTATAGTTTTCTTGCATGTGTGACGTGAGGGGAAATATTTGTCTCCATATATGCCTTTAACCTGTCACATGCAATTAATATTTTGTTTTTGGATGTTTACCGTACTTAAAATTCTTAGTGTGTTTACGATCTCATAATATTTTGTCATTAAATACTTTTAAGTTTGTCTCACATGAGCGATTTCAAGATATTTTAAATCAAGCTCGAGAAGTATGCAATCCTAATATATTAAACAAATTTTATGCAACGTTATTTCTAGCTCTTGACAATAAAAATTAATATCTAATTCTCAGTAAAATGTAAAATTTTTATCACTTGAAAGTGTATGGACAAGTAAATCATTTAAATGTGTGAATCACAATTTTATTAATCTATGCTTTTTTTTTATTTTTAGGTTGTACATAAAGCTTGATTATAAACTTATTTGAATATGTTAGAAAATAGTCTTTAAATTATTGTTAATAAATGATTAAAGCAGTGTAGTAAATCTGATTTATTTTTAAATAAATGTCCTCTACTAATAATAATTACAAATTTAACTTCAGTTTTTTATTAATATTTTGATACTTTAAATTATTTTGTTATGCTTAATATTAATTTTTTTACATGCAACGTATTTGATGCAATTCTGATACGTAAAGTATCCCATTGCATGGTTGATATTCTAATGCAGGTAAAATTAATAAATTAATTCGTGTTTAAAATGATTTATAAGTTGAATATTTTTCAAAAACAAAAGTATTTTGAAAAAGAAATATTTGTTTTGTAAATGTTTTCTTGTTGAGGTTTAAATTTATTAACCCTAATAGTAAGTATAAGTGTTTTGTAATATATTTTATGTGTGAGAATAAGACAAAACCGAAATATTGATGATGAAATTTATGCAACCGATCAGGAAAAATCAGGTTTCGATAATTCTCTTATAAGGTTAGGAATTTTTTTTCTAATTGTTTGTGTTGGGATATTTTCATATCATTTATACTACAATCGTTTTCTTTTACAATCAAATAAATTTTTTTAAAAGGGTTATCCCAGTGGTGAGACAAGAGTCATTAAAGGGTTATTAGTGGTTGCCACATAGCAACTAAATTAAATAAAGTAGGCACCACAATAATTATGATTAATTCTCCATCAAAACGTTTATTTTTAATAGTTTTGTTTATTTTAGAATTAAATGCTTGACAAGTTGTAGGGTAATGAATATCCTGTAGGAAATCTTTATACAGGCTAAATTTAAGTGCAATAAAATTCAATCCATGCCTTTTTTTCAATATATTTAAATGTGTTTTATTTTTCATTATCATCTAATGCATTATTTAATGAATTATTTTGTCCTCTTTTATTTATAGTCTGTTTTAACAATTTTTTAGATGTGGCAAATTTTGTTTTATATCGGGAGAATTAAGTAGAATTAATTATTTATATAAAGAAACTCCTTAGGCTAATGTTAGATTTTGTTCCTTTTTCCTTTGTTGAAAGATGAAATGATAAAAAATATTTGTCTTTAGCTCATCCGTGCAAAATGATATCAAAGTGGAAAAGAGAATGACAAAACTAGTAAATAAATTACAAAAAATTATATTTCCTAATAAAAAGTTTAACAATAAATTTAAAATAGCATGTGGCAATGATTAAAGGATAAGATTTATTTAAAAAAGTAGAAATTGAAAAAGGCAAAGGTGTGCGATATCAGTCCTCGTGAAACTGTTAAACCATAAAGTGCTGAACTTCGTACACGCAGGTCGTCAAGCGACCAAAGTAGAGGACCCAGTCCCTCCTCAGAGGATCAGAAGTGTGATGGTATGTCCTCAGGGATGTTTCTCATACTGTCACCAATTGCCCATTGTGTAGCTTTAGTGCTACGTTAATTAAATAACTACCTACTTATAGTATTTTATATTTTGTGACATTATTTTAGTAAATTTTATAATATTTTACAATTTATCTTACTATTAATTAACTAAGAAAAATATTTTTTTATGAAGATTTAGATTCAAATTAATTATTAACCTACTTATAATGCAGAAAGTGGTCACATCCGATAAGTTTCCAGGTCATACCCTTTACGAGTTATATCCTTCAAATTAGACCTATTCTGTGATTTTTTTATTATTATTTTTTTTATAGTTTCGTAAGCAAATACCGAAAAGTCACCAAGACTCGGCAACTATTTTGTTGTAGATTATATTAAAACTGTCCTGTTTGTGACTATCCTGTGATAGTATTTCTAATTGTTGATTATTTTTACTATAGCAGCCATGGGAGATAGTGATGAAGAATATGACAGGCGACGTGCTCGCGACAAATTTCGTCGAGAACGAAGTGATTATCAAGATAGAGGGCGAGAAGAACGAGGTCGAAGGGATGATTGGTCAGAAAGGTATTTATTTTTGCGTTCTAATTAGTATATTATTTGCTTGCTCTGTATCAAGAATTATGACTAGCACATAAATGGTAATTTGCAATTAACAGAACAATGCTTTATATACTGTATGCTATAGTTTACAAATTTATTTTTTAATATTGTCATATTTTTTTTATAATCAGATTTTTATTAAAAAAGTTGTTTGTTGAGAAATTACTGAAGGAGAAAGTATATAAACTTCCAATTGAGCCAGTTTTAAAAATAAAAAAAAATATTAAAATACCTTTTTTGTATATAAAACAATTTATATAATAAACAGTCTTTTGTTGTAACCATTCTGTTTTCTATTTGGATACAAGCACTTATACTTATATTTATTATTTGAGTTTATAAGTAATGAAGAAAAACTTACTCTATTAAGAGAAATTTAAGATTTTTTTTTTTTTTGTTGTTGATCTAAATTCATTATTGATTTGTAATCAATGTAATAAAATTTTTGAGCTGTGAATTGTTTTAATAATGATCTAAATTAATGTTTTTTGCAATACATTATCATTATTGGAAATAGTTTTTACACTCATTTGTTAAGCTCTAAAACTTGCATAAGGTTTTGGAAATTTATATCCTGGCAAGCAGGGTTGGCAGGTTTTTGACATGTGACAGTTTAAACCGTCACGTCAAAAACCTCACTGTCGAAAATGTCAAAAACCTATATTCATATGTGAAATTTAATTAATACATAAAATTTATATATTTTTTAAAGGATAGTGTTTCTAAATATGTTCTTGAAAAAAAGAATTTTAAATTTTGAAGAAACACTTATATTTTGAATAGTAACCAAAATCTTGTACTTTTGAAAACTCACATCTTTTGTAATATTGTGTATATTCATTTTCATGTGTTATTGAAAATCTGCAGTGATATTATTAAGATATTTATTTATAACCAAATTTAGTGTATAGTATAGATTATACACTAAAAATTAGACATTTTTAAAGATAAACATTAGCAGTTTTGTACATTAGACATCTTCTTTTAAAGAAAAATCTTTTTAATATTCTTTTAAATCTTCTTAATAATCTTTTTAACATAAGACAATACAAATTTAAGTGCTTTCTGTTAAATACACAGAGTAGTTAGTGTCGATTTACAGTATATTCAGCCTATTCATTTACTATGCTGAAAATTTAGTTTATCCAAATACTTGTGAATTTCATTTTGCTGAATACTATATAGTTTTGTTGAATATCTAAATATTCAGCTGTTGAATAATTACTTCTTGCTTTCAAGATATGCATTATTTGTATTCTTAATACAAGTGGAGAAAAAAAAATTAAGAGATAAAAATTGTTTTAAAATGATAAGTGTAATAATTATAAATAAATATAATAAACAATATGAATTATATTTATCATTATTCATAAATATAACTACTTTTAAATTCAAATTAACATACTGGATAATAAAGATATTCGGTATAACATTAAAATTTTTTTTCATACACTTGTATCAAGTTTGTATTTATACAACATAACTTGTAAGTTCCTTATAAATATTAGTTATATGTTCCTTATATGTCAAAAATGCATAGTAATAAACTTTTAATTTTCTTAAGTATCAAAAAGAAGAAAATTTTTTTTTTAAATATAAATATTTAAAAAAATTTTGTGCAAAATTTTTCTGCACATGCATTTGAATATAAATTTCTGAGATTTTAAATCTGTTATTTTACCTTAATTTTAATTAAAAAATATTTTAAAACCTGCTGATTACCTATAGTATAATTAAATTTCAATATAATGCATGGCAACTGTTGGTAGTTTTGAAGTTTATATAATTTCTTGGCAAACTTCAGTTTTTGACATTTTTGACGGTTTAAACCAGTATTATACCCTTGTCATGTCAAAAACCACTTTTTGACGTCAAAAACCCAACCCTGCTGGCAAGCAAATGGAACATTGAAGCTAGAGTACTTTATTCTGAATCACAAGCTTTGTACTGCTGATTTGTTTTAATTAGTCAGGTTGCATGTCAATTTTTTCGTTTATCGATTAAGAAGGTTTTTATATTTTTTGTTTCTGTTTTACTATAGTGCAGCAATTTAACCGAGTGTTTTTGATAGATTTTATTCCTTTATTGACAATTATATCCTGTAAAGTTATAAAGATAACCCTAAACATAGAAAACTGTGATTTTCAATGATAAAGTTATGTTTTGAGGGTTAAGTGGGAAAGTTAATCTAGGATTATTAGTGGTTAAATCTTTTATTCAAAATTTATGAATGATTTTAAGTCTTGCCTTCTGTCTAGTTTTGGCAATTACGAGGGTTTCTTGTTTTGCCGATTAAGTGGGTTTCTCTTAGATTTTATTCTTTTTTCATCACTTTTTCTTGCTAAAAGGATCATGGACAATAAGCATTTTCTTTCTCCCTAAAATTTTATTATGACTAAGTGCCCCTAAATTTAAGTTCTGATGTATTAAACAAAATTACATGTTTTAATACCCTCTATAAGTCATGTGTTTTACTAGTATGTTAAATTCATTCAGTCAAGTTGTTTTTACTTAATAAATTTAAGTATTGTTAATAATGACTTTCGTTATTTTTAGTTTGAATGGTCTTAATATGGTGTCATAATTTACTCTTATAATTTTTGTTTTTCTGTTTAATTAGGGAAGGTAGAGGTAGCAGAAGAGAATACAGAGATTATGATCCACGTAACAGGCGGGATCGGTACAGTCCAGCTCGTCATGAAATAAGTCCACCTATGAAACGAATGAGGCGAGACTGGTAAGTAGAAAAAATTACATAAAGAAAAGGCACAAGTTTATGACAGGGTTACAAAAAATTCTAGAATTCCAATATTTTCCCGGAGATATTTTTTTTTTTTTTTTTTTTTTTTTTTTTTTTTTTTTTTTTTTTTTTTTTGCTATTGTAAGACTTGTTTTTTTGCAAAGACGAATTGGAAGAATTGAAACTAGGTTATTTTATACTGAACCACAGGTTTTAGTGCTTCAGCTTTTTTAAATTATATTCAAACAAGTCAATTTTGTCTTTTCTTTTTTTTCATACTACAGCAGTTTAATAAGGCGTTTCTGATAAATTATTTTTGTATTATCACTTTTTCTTTACATTTATTTAGATAACTGGTAACATAAAAAATTGGTTTTCAGTGATAAATTTTTATTTTTTTATAAAAACTAATAATTTATTTTTCTATTTTTCTTTTGCATTTTTTTAATAACTTTTCTTTTTATTGGTGTTTTTATTATTGCACAGCATTTTTAAAAAGAACATTTCTAGCAATTTTTTTCTATAAGTATAGCAAGGTCAGAAATTTAAATTGAGATTTAGAGCATAAAAAATTTATCTTTTTTAAAAATAAATTTTCTTTCAATCGATGTCTTTAATGCAACACAGCGATTTTTACGAACATTTAAATGAGACTTCATACTTTTTTCTTCACTTTTTCTTGAAATATGGTAATTGGAAGAATAAGATGTTTCTTTTCGTTTGAGGATTAAGATGTTTTTATTTATTTTCATTTTTTTGTTCTGTTCATTATGTGTGTTAAACATAAATATTACATGTTATCAACTATAAACTTAGCATACATTACAATTTTTAAACTTAAAGCATTACATTATTTATCTTTGCACCCAGCATGATAATTTTTCATATAATATTGTCCATAATATTACAATGATTTACTTAGAAAATCATCAGATACGCATGACTGTCAGCTCTTGGATTTTCCAGTAGGCTACTGGATTTTCCCACTTTCTACTGGTACAATAAAAATTCTCCTATTTTAGAAAATTCTCTATAATTGAGTGAGTTTTTGAAAAAAGTCCTTTTTAGACTAAAATTTTTTTTAGAATTTATTGTTTGCTCGACTATTTAAATAAATATTACAAATACATAATTAAATGAAACTCACAGTATTCAGTTTCTTTTCAGAACTCCCTTTTTAAATTATAAAGTCTTTTAACTATCAATAATAATTTACTTGTCTACTACTATTTAAAATGATGAGTTAACATAATAAGAAAAGAGTTTCAAATTCATTTAATGCCAAATATAAATGGAAAATATTGCAGAATTAGTGTAATAAAGTTTTTATATTTTGATGACAATAAAAATTCCCTATATGCAACAGTTGGCATGAAATTTATAGTGTTTCATAAAATCTATTGGATTTTTTCCCTATCCATGTTGGCATCTATGGCTAGGTAGATGAGAGAAGTGACTTTTTTGCATTTGTATTTCAGGGAAGATCGAGGTGGTGGCTATGGAAATAACTTTGAAGGAAATTTCCCTGGTGGTGGCATGATGGGAGGTGGAGGAATGCATGGTAGTGGTTGGGGTATGCATGTTGGTGGTGGAGGAAATCAAATGAATCCCCAAAGGTTTGTCTCTTTCTTCCAGCATCACTACCAATTTGTCTAAGTTGTTGTACTTAGAATAGAAAATTTGTATGACGAAAACACAACTGGTTTATTTGCTCTATTTCTTTATTGCCAAGAGAGTATAGCAGGGTTCGCCAAGTGGGCCCACCTTGAAAAAACCCACTTGGAAGGATTAGTGGGTTTTTTCAGCAGAAACATTTTTTTTTAAATTAAAACTTAGTGATGCACTATAATTTATTGTGCAGCATAAATTTATCTAATGGAGTAGCAAGATTTATATGACTAAGTTTTAAATATTTGTAAAGTAAAAGAAACTCAAATCTATAATTTTATAGTACTAATAATTAGTTTTTTTAAGCCAATGAAATGGATATTTTTTATTACCTTTCTAACTGTTTAGTTTCTTGAGTCATTTGAAAAATGAAGGAAGCTACCTTTACCCGGTTTGATTGTGAAATGATTGATTAAACCTTTTAAAAGTGATTCTGACCTTAATGTGAGAACAGTGTTTTGACTTTTTCTGGTACTTTTTTTTTACAAAAATCAGATCAGTAGTAAAATTTATGCAAGTCACTAATTTAAAGATATGTATGATAATTAAATATTTTATTATTAGTAAATATATAATCAGTTACTGATTCAGTAATTAAGTTTGGTGTAATTTTGCTTACAAGAACAAAATTCATTTGTGGTGGTTGCCTTGTTAATTATACTTTGTTATTATAGTATTATATCTGAGCAATAGAATATTATGTTTTTTTTTTTTAAATTTTATAATTATCTATTATGTTTTCTAAATTTTATAATTAAGTTTGAACTAGATAAATCTGGGACTGTAAAAATTTGCAAATGATTTTTTTACAGGGATGTCGATGCAGGGATCACTCAACCTCCGATGATGACTTTTAAGCAATTCCTCTCTTCACAAGATGATGGGATTGATGATCAGGAAGCTGTGAAAAAATACAATGAATACAAATTGGAGTTCAAAAGACAACAAATCAACGAATTTTTCATGAATCATAAAGATGAAGAATGGTGTGTTTGAGCTATTCATTTCGTTTTCTTTTTTTCTTCTGTTAAGACCTGTAATTATGCCTATTTTCTTAAAAACAAAGGAAGCATTAATGCGTACAGTAAAATAATTTTTTTTTTTTCAGTTTTTTTAGTTTTTTTTTTTTTTTTTTTTTTTTTTTTTTTTTTTTTTTTTTTTTTTTTAGAAATTTTGTTATTTATGAGTAACTAAATTTCTACAAAATGAATTTGAAAAGCACTGTTAATTATTGATTCCAAAGATATTAGTTTTTTTTTTCCCCAACTGTTTAGAAAAAGTCAAGGAAATACAATCCATGGGGTTGGGATTTTGTGTACTTCTCATTAGGCTATCTTTGGGTATATATTTTTTAAAGAATTCTCCATATTTAATTAAATTTAGATGGGTAATCGAAATTAACCAATTTTTAAAATGCGATATCTTAAATTTGTTATTGAAAGTATTTTCATATTAATTGAAATTGGTGTTAGAATGAATAATAATTTATTCTGGCAGCTACATGTCTTGTTTCACATGGGCTACCTAAATATGTACTCTTAGTTTATTATCTAATTTTTTTAAAAATATATTTTGCATCGATGAAATCTGCATAGTTAAGACAGTTCTAAATTTTAATTTAAAAGTCATAAAAATTTTTTAAAAAAATTATTAATTTTGTTTACTAAGGTTTTGGTTGAATTAGGATTTTTTTTTATTGCTTTCATTTTTAAAGAAAAGCTGATGTTATGGGTAATACTAATAAAAAGTTTTATCTGCCTTAATAAATTTTTTGTCGGTCTTAGGTCAAAACAAATTTAGCTAGCTTTCATTTTCTATTTTCTGGTTGAATTAATGTCTTAGATCAAGTTTCAGTTAAGCTTTAATTCTCTTCACAAACAATATATACATATTTATAAGCAAAAAATAGAGCCCTTGTTTGTGAAATGTTTGCCAAACTCAGACTGTTAGGGTGGAGTTATACAACTTTTAAAACTATTGTGGAATAGTGAGTGTATGATCAGGGCTCCCAAATGGTCCTTTTATCCCTTCAAATTCTTTTTTTTTTTTATTAAGTAAAGTTGATTTTTGTCCTGTTTTCAATAGTTTGATCCTCTAGGTCCTCTTTTGATTGATTTGAGGTGCGACAACCTCTTTCCTTATCATTCAGGTCCTTTGAAAGCTAATCATGTTGAGGGTAGTTTACATTGCACTGTTGTATTTATAGATCGTAACCACTGTTATTGAACCTGGGAATCAACACTAATCAAGATTTTAAACATATGTTTAGGGAAGTAAATGACAGCAAAGCTTAATTACTTCAAAATTTTCGTATTTCTTTTATTCCGTAAAAAGCCTACCAAAAGAGCAGTTTCTGAAATCAGTGTTATTTAAAAATAAGTTACCAAGTTGAGAAACTTATTGCTGCATTTCTATCTCTTAGGATCTTGTATCTAAATTATTCCTGTTCAGCTGCTTTTTTGGTATTTATGTAAAGATCGCTGACCAAATAATTTACTGTGGTATCTGAATATTAATATTTCTCCCGTAACTCCTTTTTAATTACAAATGATCCACTGTTTACTTTTTCTGTTGTTAAAACATGTTGGAAGCCCTCGATGGTATGTCTCTGGTCCATAGTTTGCGATCAAAATAGGCACTTATATGATTGAAGTCCAGATTCACTAAAGTTTTAATAAATATAGAACTTTAAAATGCATGGTTATATATATTTTTTTTTAAGAATTGACTTTGTTTTATTGATACGACCAGAACCATTTTTTAAGGATAAAAAAAGTTTTTCTTTTTAATCTATAATTTTTTTAAATAATTTTCTTAGTAGAAAGTGTAGAGCTATGCTTCCTATTAATCTTACTATTTACATAATGGGATTATGAGATATTAATTTTATTTTTGCATCTGAAAATTAGATTGTGATCAGAGTTGCTTAAATTATACAAATTTGTTTGTTATATTTATGATAAAACTTATAAAAAATTATTTGAAGAGAAATAAACTTGCTAATTGCATTTTATTTTCAATATCTTTGTGCAAGGCATGTTAGCAATTTTATTGTCTTTTCTAGTGTTGTAAAACACCAGCTCCATGGAGGCTTTTTAATATTATAAAAGGAGTCATAACTTTTAGTAAAAGATAAGTAGTGCTTTTAGTAGGTTAGTACAGTAGTCCCTAGTCCCTCACTATATTGTGCATGTTAGTGAAGGAAAATTTAAAAAAACATGAATTAACAACAAAATTTTATTATTATTATCTAAGTAACTGTTGCAAAATAACAAAAATTACTCTTTTATTTTTAATGAAAGATGAATTTAAAGTGATCCTATCCATACTTATGAAATAGTGAACTATGGACCATGTATCGTAGTTTGAGAAGAATTCTAATACAGTATGGGACCCCTAATCCGATAGGACTCGAAATTCGCCATTTAATCCGATCTATTGGTTTTTATGAAATTAACAGTATAATTTGAATTATCGTAATGTTTGGGGGCTATATTGGAATTTCCGAAATTCGGCATATTCCAAACTACGGATTTTAGTTGCCAGATTTGGAGTCCTATACTGTAATTTTAATTCTAATGAATTCTTAAAACAAATTCTCATTTTTTTCTTTCTAGAAACTGAAAAGTTTTTTCGTGTTTTTAAAATTATTATATATAAAAGAAATTTTAGGCATGTACGAGGATGTTGGAATTTATTTTCAATATTATTAAGAAAGGGGAAAAGGGCCACAAATCTAAAATGTTTTATATAGCAAGGGACTATTGTATTGATATTTTTATTAATAGACTCCTTGTTGCAATATATTACTTTGCCTCTTTTGTGCTGGAACAAACAATGTGTTAATATTTTTTCCTTCACACAGTGAGCATGTTGACTCTGCCTCGAAACAAAAGATGTTTTCATCTCTCCTCTACTTTCACGATATGAACTGTCTAAATCATTCTTTTACTCGTGATGTTGATTTTGTTGTGTAGTGAATTGAATGAAATGAAAGTTGTATCATTGTGATTATGCGAAAATAAAAAGAGAATTTTAAATCGCTCTAAAAGTTATGATTAGGTTTAACCCCCGTAACGAGGGGTCGCGTTCAGAATTTTTACTCCTGCTCTTCGAGGAAGATCTATGTAAGTCAGATGTTTGAATTCTTGGTAAAGTTTTAATTACTGTTATACATTTTTTTATTCTTTTCATTTTTGTGTGCTGCTTTGTTATCTATGTCTTTGTGTAACTATAGTATAAGTTAATGAATTTGATAAAGTTTAAGTTTCCGCCTAAGAGAAATATGTATTTTGTAGTTAAACTAAAAATACACTATGCATATTAAGATTTGTATTTTTAATCGTAAAAGATTTTTAATAGTTTTTTGGCATGTAATTAATGAATTTGGGCTCATTTTTAAAAAAGAAAAATTTTATACGATAAAAATACTTATTAATAGTAATGCTATGAAAGCAGGCAAAATAACGACATATAACGACTCTAGCGACATAAACAGACCTATCAAGTAAAATGTTATCCAAGATACTCTTACTTTAATATTTATAATTTAATCAATGCAGTGACTGCAAGCAAAATATCTGATAAATAATATCTAGCCTAATAGTGTAAATTATAATAGAAATGCTGCATATTATCAAGCAATGTATGTTTTTTAAAAAAAATTTTAAATCAGTTGCAAAGTTAACTTGTACTGAAGAATACAAGTAGCAAAACCAGGATTTGTTCTAGCATTTTTTTAAGACAGAACCACAATACATTTTGCGATGCAATAAATGCATTATCATTATTAGGGCATATTCCATCGAATTCATTGCTGAATGGTTAATAAATTAATATTGTGCATTTAATTTGACGCAATTTGAAGAAGGAAATTAAAAATGTTTGCAGAAAATTAAAAATTGATGCAGTTGTAGCTGAAATAACTATTGTATTGCAAGTTGCCATATCGATTGTCATTCTAAATTACAAAAAATGCATGATTTTCACAATTTTATTTAACTTGAAGACACATTTCTAAATTTGTAAAATTAATATCTGGTATAAAATATCAATATTTCAAAAATACTTGTGGAATTGTTCGGGGGGGGGGATAATTATCTGTCACAAAACCGTAAAATGATTGAATGCAACAGAAGTGAGTAATAACATAGTATTAAATTTGAAATTTAAAAAAAAAAAATAATAGTGTGATAACAGCAGCTATTAAATCCTGAAAATTGATCGGAACCATAGCAAATTGAGCGCACTATTAACTGTTATAATTAACTGTCACAAAACCGTAAAATGATTGAATGCAACAGAAGTGAGTAATAACATAGTATTAAATTTAAAATTTTAAAAAAAAAAATATAGTGTGATAACAGCAGCTATTAAGTCCTGAAAATTGATCGGAACCATAGCAAATTGAGCGCATCACAAAGTGATGATTTAAATTCACGTGTCGTTATAACATTGTTTTTAAAATATCAGAGTTTGAAGAACCGCATGAAAAAGGGCTGTAAAAACGAAAAGCAACTCCCGATATAATGATCAAAAACAGTCTTAGATTAAAAATGTAATTGTTGTAGATCAAGAGCAAAAGGAAAGTATTACTGCAGTTATCATAATAATGAAACTGCAGTAATACCATAAAGAGATGATGAAAAAAAAGATAAATAATAGTTCAACAAAACATTTTAAAAAAATTATGTTAGTTTACGACTGAGTCTTAATGAATGATGCATGTCAGGAAGTAATAATTCAAAATTACTGAGTGGCTACTGCAACTTTTAAGAAAATATCAAAATTTTGAAAAGCCGCATTCGATAAGACACAAAAAGGATACAAGAACTAGATTTAGTTTGCAAGATATCAGGTTTTTGAAAGTTTTGCTACTGATATTTTTCTCTTAACTAGCATTTTCTTTTTTTTTAATTAGGTATATACTAGTCTACCAAATCTCCCTTCTATAACGTTACAAAAGGGCCGGTTAGAATATTATAAATGGTTTATATAATACGCTGTTTGATTTTGATATAACGCTGTAATTTCCTTTCATAGGCATAGTTTGCTAAGCAAGCCCATTTATCGGGAATAGTAAAAAGAAAATTTTAAAAAGATTTCGAGGCTAGTCTTTTTTTATTGTATTAATATTAACCATTTCTTATTTTAAAAAATGTTTCTCTGAAATTTTAGGTTTAAACTAAAACATCATCCAGAAGAAAGCCAAAAAAGGAAAGCTGAACTCCATATTGCTTTAAAACGCAGGCTTGATGTCTTCATGGAATTATTTGAGAAAGGTCTAGTGGAGAATGTTAGTGTAGATCAGGAGAAAACTGACCAGATAGTGAAATTTTTGGATGCAGGTAAATTGACTCCTTGAGGTTTACCATCAGGCAAATGCTATCTTATAATCCCTACATTTGAGGGTTAACCCATGGTGCATAGCATTTTTAAAAAAGTAGTTAAAGGTACTTATTTCCGTTTTTTAAAAACCCTTAAAGAAGCTTTTTTTCATTGGTTATTTTTAAAAAGTGCTTAATTTTCTCTTTTCAAAAATGAGGGTTTTTTTTCTTTACCCTGTCAATTTTTACCATGTATAATGAAAGAGCATGCTTTTCACATTGTTCTATCAACATTTTCACAATTTATTCAACCAATTGTTTTACATGTTTGATGAAATACTTGCGAGTTCATGTGCAACTCTGCTGCATTTTTCAAGATATTCTCAATTTTAAGCTTCATTTTCCACCCTCTGATATTGAACTGACAAATCTCTTAATCATTTTATACTGGCTAATATTATCAAGGAAAAAGTTTTTTGTCAGAAACTAGTTATTTTTATCATGATCATGTTAAGTCTTTGAAAGTTATTTTGTTAATGTACATAGTGCTTAAAAATATTTTTTGGGTGCTTTAAAAGTACTTAAAAGGTGATTATTTTTTCCACCCTCTGATATGCACCCTATATCCTTAATTTAGAGCTCTAATTTAGCTATATTGAATTATTTTTTAAATACATATCAAAATTATTACCGAAGAAGTTAATTTACATTAAAAATGACTGAAAAATTTCATTTCTGTTTTATTAGTTTTAGAAATAAAATATTTTTGTTAAAGTCATTTACTTGAACCACTAATTTTTGCTGCTGAAACAGCAAAATTTTTGCATTAACTGACATACCTTTTATGTAAAAAATAAAAGTTTTAAATGGTTCAATCATTTGTATAAATGTTATATTAATGTTAAGCAATAAGAATGTGCCCAAAGTATATGAAAATATTTCATTTGAAATGTTTACATGTCTAAATATCCCCCCCCCCCCAGTANTACCCCCCCCCCCCAGTATAATTTATTAGCATACAAATCTATCAAGTTTTTACCAAGAAATGTTCTTAAATAAAGATAATTCAGTTGTATCATGGTCATAACAAAATTTGACAAACTAAATAAAAGAGAAATGAATACATTTTTTTCTTCTTTTCATTATATTGTGGATTTTTATTTTTGGTACAACGGCAGACATTACAGTCTTGTGCTAGTTGTAAAAAATAAAAAACGTGATTTCTTCCATTTTTTTTGTTGAAAGATTTCAATATAAAAAGAAAATTATATCCTACATATATACTTACTGTGTTTATATGTTATGTAAATTTTTTGTTAATGTCATATGAATGTTTTTTTTTTTATTAAATGATCTTATTTGAATAACAATTGTTTTTATATTTTAGTTGTTATCAAGTTGGAAGGAGGAAACGATTTTGATTTGACAGTCCTTGATGCTCCTTATGAAGAAGAAAAAACGAAAGAGACTAATAGTAATCAACCATTCACAGGGTATATTGATTGATTGATTAATTATTTGCTATCCCCCAATGATATTATAATTTGTGTATGTGTGTTAGCAGCATTACTGCTAAGACCCCAGAGGATTTTCAGTGCAGTAATATTTTAAATCAGTACAGTTAATCAGTACAGCTTTTTAAACAAATTTTTCTATGTTAGAGGTGGCTGTATTCCTATAAATAGAAAATTTAGAAAATGTTACTTTCAACCCCTGCAATGAAATAATAGTAGTATAAAAAGGGGGGAATCTTTATGGCTTAAAAGCAATAAAGAACATGGGAGGGGAGATCTTTAAGACATAAGAATTAAATGTTTGAGGTGAATTATAGGCAAGAAATTTGTAATTTTAGCTTGGTTGTATATTGGTTAATTGATTTTTCAATTATCTGATTTTCTAATTTTCCCTTGTAGTTCTGAAAAGAAAGATGATGTGGACATGGATGAAAAGGTAATTAATATTTCTTCCTTTAATTAAACTTAACTGGTTCAGATTTTTAAGGCTAGACTAACAATAAATTACCACTCTGAAAATTATATAATTGTTAGCTAGTACAATAGATTTTCCAATATGAGATGATAGTTTTAATTTTATGCACCCGTTTCCCACTTTTTTTTTGCCAATATTTCTGAGAAAAATGTGCTGTTTAACAACTTGTTCACAGTATTTAAAAGCGTTAAGCATGAATGGGGTGAAATATGACACAATGTAAAGGAATGCAGATTATTTGAAGTCCCTACACCTGCAAGCTTAAGGCTGAAAGAGTCCACTATATTATAAAAAAATTGAGCCGACTGTAACCAAACTACTAATTTCTCTGCTGTTCTTTATAAGCATTTTAAATAACATTGTTAAATACGTAACATGTACAAAAATAATATACTTATTTAAACTGGTCAAGTTTATATTATCTGAATAGCAAGTAAATCTGATTGCCATAAGTAAAAAATATATACATATTATTACTTCTAATAAGCATTGACTACTTGCTACAGTTTTTTGGCAAATAGCATGAGATAAAAATTTATTTATTTTCAGTTATCAGTTACATTTTCATGCAGAAATAATAAGAAATTAAAAAGAAACCTCATCTCTTATACTCTGATCGTTAATAATCATTAAATGGCAAGGTTATGTAATTAGTTTTTTTCTGTTTTATTTGAAAGTTTGAAACCAATTTGAACAGTTTTAATTGAAAATTTCATTATTTTCAAATTCCTTTTTTAACATAATTATTATTCTAGTAAAACTTAGTGCAAATTTTTAAAGTTTTTCCGCTTCCTTCTTTAGTTGACTTATGTTATTGCTTATTGCTATTGTAAATGTGGTTTTTTCATTTTAAAATGTTTTAGTGCAAAATTAAAATTTCGTGGGAATAAGTTTAAATGACTGGCAAAATGTATCAATATGTTTATATGTATAAAGAATAATTCTTATTAAGTTAACCACTATAGTTTATTTTATTATTCAATTGAATTAATTTTTTTTGATCTTAGGTGGATGAACCTAAAAAGTCCAAGAAAAAAAGAAAACATTCCCACAGTTCCCAGTCTGGGGAGGACAGCTCGTCAGGATCTGAATCGGAGGTGGAATCCTTACCCCCAGGTTTGTTTATTGTTTTTCTATCTTCTTAACTCATGATGTCCGGCTGATCGTAAAGACACAATTCCGAATGAAACGCCGAAGTCAAGCATCACTGGGTGTGTTCGGGTAGCGGTTGGGTGACAACTTATTTAATAGTATTGTAACTTTTATTTAAAAATAATAATGGAAACTTAAACAACCACCATGTTGCAATAAAGATTCAAAAAAACTTATATGTATTTCATCCAACAACAAAAACATATCATAAAAACAATTTCAACAATTACTTTCAAAGTACAGTCAAACCCCGCTATAGTGAACTCCCGGATATAGTGAAGGAAATGTTCGGTTCCGTGCCTTGCTATACATGTATAATGTTATTTTTTGTGGATATAGTGAACCCAAAAAATGAAGAAGTTGGATATAATGAACTTTTGTCTGTCTTCGACTGATTTTTTTCTTAATTTTTTTTGTAATAATTTTGAAATTTCTACTTCAAAATAAATACATATACTGATTTTTTCAACAATCTATAGGTATCAGGTGTAAGGTGTCAGTGGGATCAATATGCATTTTCTGTCAGGGGTAATGAATAATTATTCATTATTGGACAAAGGGTTGGACACTAATCTGTGTTGATAAGGCCTTTTGCTCTCAGTTCAGTTTAAAAAAGCCTGCAACGAAGTTTTTCAAATTTAACTATGGCGAGCAGTAAGCGTAAAACATTCTCTATTGATGATAAAATGGACATAATCAGAAAAATTTAAAATGGATGTTATCAAGCTGATATTTGCAGGGAATATAAACTATCCAAATCTACAGTTTGAAAAATAACAGTAATAAAAAATAACACAATTTTTGCTACTACATAATATTTTTCAGTCATTTATTTGAATGATGAGTAATCAAAGGAAGGAGTTTGGGAATCATTAGTTAAATTGCCTGCGTTACGGATTTGGTGAACGTAACCGAATGAAACGTATAGTGAACCGAAAATTCAGTCCCTTGAAAGTTCACTATAGTTTGACTGTATTTACAAATATCTTAAAATTTCTTTCCATAAAAATGTGCATGAAATATAATCTGTAACATTCATTTCCAAAAAGAAAATATATATATATATTTATGCAGTTCACATGAAGATGAAAAGAGTGACATCATTCAAGACATAAAATGATTAAAAATTCATTCTTTTTTATTTTTATTTTTTTAAAGCTAGATAGGTGATAACAGATATTTCGAATGTCAACTGGAGATTCTGAACACATTTCAATGTTACCTAAAATAGCAAGAAATGTATTAAATTTTTAAACTAATACTGCATATCCTGTTGTATAAGTAGACTGCTGAAAAATTTATGAAGTTAAGTTTCACTGGTTGATTTCAGTTAGCGGGTGGGTGGCCACTTTGATCAGCCTGCTTAGGGACCGAGGATGTGCAGTATCGGTCCTCATTAAACTGTTCTACCTTAAAGTGCTCCACTTTGCACTCATGTTGTCAGGCTACCGAAGTAGGGTTATCCTCTGGGGTGGTTGTTTCCCAGACCGTCGCCAATAGCCTATTGTGCAACTCTAGTGCGACGTAAATAAAGTACCTACCTGTAGGTAAAACAAATTTAAAGTTCATGAAACAAAGTCTAAATGATGTCTTGCTGGTACCAATATTTCTATGCTATATTGTCAAGTTCCATAAAAGATTGATCAGTTTATAGATTTGAGACACCCTCTTTAATTTGACAAAATGTTAACTCTTTATGGTTTATATTTGTTAGAAGAAAGTAGGGATGACAATGAAGAGTTGACTGAGAACGGCATCAAAGAAGAACCAGTGTCTCCAAGGCCGGCATCTAGATCTGCTTCTGAGAAGGACAAAGATGATAGTTTAGACAAGTCTGATATTGTTGACAAAGAAGCTTTTCCAGACAGTGAAAAAGTTGAGACTGCAGAACCGGGGGGAGAAGAAGACGCAGATAAAGCAACAGGTATTGTGGTTTGGCAAGTCCCCTATTTAAAATTCTTTTAAGATTTTGAATGATGTCTCAATATTACATTAATTAATTGACAGGGAAGAAAATTTATGTGTATTTAATGTAAACATTTATCGTTATCTTTGTCTTGCTAAGCGGGATGTAATGCACGTAAGATGTTAAAAAGCAAAGGAAAATATTTTATTGGATTAGATTATTCTCCCCCAAAGTTTCTCTAAGATGGGGGGCAGGAATTCTAGAGTCGACAAGAATTATACAAACGTGCATATATATATATTAATTATAATTAACTGTAAGGAAGGCAATTAAATATTTTAGAAACCTTCTGCGAAAATAAATCACGATCCCCCCATTAAAAATTTGTAACTCCCTGTGATTTTCTCTGATATTTGCTTTCATTTTCTTGTTAAATGTAATAATCTTGATTTAGCTCAAATAAAGGACTTTTTGTGCAGATCTGACCGCAATAATGCTGTTGATCACGAAATTATGGAGCCTTAATCTCCAAAACCCCCACAATGGGCTGTTACAGGAATGTTTTACTTATAGGATGACTTAGCATGAAACAGAACACGTCTTTAATTCTTTTTATGAATTTTTGAGTTTATTATTGCTCAAGAATCTTTTGTCTTCCTGTAATCAAAACCGGGGTAGTTTTTTTTCCCCCAACTTTTTCTTTACCAGAACTTTAACTCTTATTCGAGTTTTTTCCCTGTTAAGAATATTTTAAAAGTCAAGTTATTCATGTGCCTTATGTAAGCTTATATTTCTCTTTCAGCAAAATATATACAACCATAAGCACCATTAGGCGCTTACTTTATATTTATATCCAGACTCAGACAGACTTAATATTTAAACAAACCCAGGGTTGTTTTTCCAGGATTCATTTGACCCTTTTGACCCGACTTGCAGCATTAAAATTTCAAGTATAAAAAGCAGTTCATGCTGACATATTAAAATAAGTATACTATGAGTTTAAAGTTTTCCCAGAAATCTCCTGAGACAATATGTCCCAATTGTCTTGAATATTGTGAAAATACCTATATATTGCATGGGAATAAATAATGAAAATAATATAAATGCATCAAATTATTCATTCTGCAAAATTGGGATCTGCTTATCCATTAGGGATTAAAGTTCAATTTTAGGAGGGATGTATCCTATTTCGGTCGAAAGGCTTCGGGGAGAAGCCATAATTTGGGAACTTATATTCAAATAGAAACTTTTATTTTAAAATGTACATTTTCTGCATTTTTAATCTTGTAGTTATTCAAGTGGTAAACAACTGTTCTTTCCAATTCTTTTTTAAGCTCTATTTATTTTAAACTATAATTTAATTATAATATTATTTAATATTTAATTATAAAAGAGTATAATAGTTGAACTCTGGAATAAATCTTGTTTAATATTTCATGATTTTTTAGATGCTGAAAAGGCTGAAGGAGAAGTGGATGAGGAATCATCTGAACCAAAGCCAAGAGCACTTCATAAAACTCATTCTATTTTTCTACGTTATTTAGCCCCATCTATCACAAAACAAGAAGTAGAAGCAGTAAGTATAAACCTGTGTAACCATTTAAAAAGCAAAGAAAGAAATGTATGTCGAATTCCAAGTAGAAGTGGATTGAGAATTAATATTGTTTTCTTGCTATGAGAGTTAATTTATTATTATTTTTTAATTATACTGTTAATAGTTAAAATGATAATATTCTTAACGTGTGTAACTTATTTTTTCTTCAAATTTCCTCGGATGGAAAAAATTTAAACTACATTTGAGTCGAGTTAAAATCTGGACTTTTTAGTATACTTTTAAAGGTTCTGCCAAAATTTCATTTTCAAATATGTCTCTTTAATTTAAGGTATAAGTAAGGTATTAATATTTATAGCATTATTTCTTTCACGTGACTAGTCTTTGAATAGAAACTGATGCTTTAGTTTTATCATCAACTATAATTTTCTTCTGAAAACTAATGGCAAGAGATTCTACACATTAAAAGTTTTAAAAAAAATGTTTTTAGATACATTAGCTTTTTCAATAATTATTATAATACAGTCGTATCCCACTTTACCTTTTTCAATAATTATTATAATACAGTCGTATTCCACTTTATGGAATTCCTAGACACCGAAGCTATGCAATCGAAAGTTTGTTATATCGATATTAGGAATTTCAACATTAATCAGAACGTTTTAATTTTTCGCATTAAAAAAAATTTATTTAATTACAGTTTTGATCTGTTTGTACTCTACAGGTAGAAAATAACAAATCAGTATTTTGAAAACTCACTAAAACAACTAAATTGAAAGAAACAATGGATTGTTTATTATAACTTACCTATCAGAAATTACATGATCGGTAATTTTTTTTCTGTATAAATGATTTAGAATCGATAGAATTTATAAACTTCTCCAAATTACGCACATTTTCAAACAACTGAACTGGAGATCACTATTTTGGAAAGCCACATGTATTTTTACTTCTTCAAACAGGGGTGAAAGTTTTCCGTCTTTTTTAAAGAACCACAAGACGGAACGAAACGGAATATTAATATTAAATAAATTCTAAGTTAGTTTTTTTTTTTATTTTATGCAATTCAGTGGGAAAAGTCCCAATCGACCGATTAATTAATTCTTTATTTTCCCCAGTTCCGTAAGTAGGTTAACGTCAGAGGAGAGAACTGGTTTTCTCACCTTCCTGTTTAAAGTTGATCAGTAAGTTCCACACTTGCATGAATAAATTTCCTTTTTTATTTTTCTTTAGAAAAAAAAATTGCTATTGGTTTTGTTTATACTCCTGAACGATATAATAAATATTGAATTTTTATAAGCCTTATTCGTATTTTGTGTATTTTAATTTTTATTGAAAAGTTCACAATTTTTATGAAAAAAATTCATATATAATTTTTTGTTTACTTAAAATTATTGGGCGAGACATGCCCACTTCTGATTTTGATATTTTCAGTCTTGACAATTTTTGAAACCTTCACCCCTGTCTTCAAACATGAATGGGTTGGGGTTTAGTCTTTTCAGGGTTCGGAGTCATTCGTCTCTTTCGACATGTCCCTTTCATATCTGAAACTTTTTATTTTGAAGATGCAGAAATATTTGTATTCTGAGATCATTGTGTACTTTTGAAGAATGGAAAAGTGTTTTGATCATGAGAAAAATCTAGAATTTTTGCTTACTTTCACCTTTGTTAAATCGGATTACGAATTTTGTTATGTCAGTATTTTTAATTCATTGTTTGTTTTTATGGAGATTCATTTGAGGATTCAGAAAATATTTGTTACATTAAAATTTTTTGCTTTTACAGGATTTACTGTATTTTTAAAGCTTTTCATCATTAATATCATAATTGAAATTAGTGTTTTACAATTTTTTTAAAATTGCCTTTAAATTAAGTAATAATATAGTAATTTTCACTTTTGAAGCATAAGAAGGTAAGTTTTGTTATTGTAAAATTTAAGTTGAGACATTTGTTCAAAAGTTTTAAAACTGGAATATAATAACAAAGTTGAATCTATTAAAATTCAATTTACATAAGTAGTATTTGATTGGGTGTTGCAATAAATTTTTTTATATTTTAGATGTGTAAAAGATTTCCAGGATTTCTTCGGGTGGCCATAGCTGATCCACAAACAGAACGAAGGTTCGTGCGAAGAGCTTGGGTTACTTTCGAAAGATCGGTCAATATTAAGGAGATATGTTGGAAACTTAATGGAATTAGGGTAACTAGGATTAGTCTTTCTATATTTATGCAAAATTGATCTGTTTCTTATAAATTTATAGAATTTTTTTTCTTTCTTCAATACCTAAAACTGTTATGTTTTCAATCTGTATCTAAGATTAAAATTTTTTCTTTAAGCTTCGCGACAGTGAGCTTGGTGCGATTGTGAATAGAGATCTGAGCAGACGTATTCGATCTGTCAATGGAATATCGTCACATAAGCAGGTTGTTCGTGCTGATATAAAGTTAGCAGCGAGAATTATACAAAATTTAGATAAACAGAAGAAATTGTGGGAAGACGAGGAAATAAAGAAGGAAGAATTGGATGAAAGGGTAATTATTTCTCCTATCTTCCTACTGTTGCTATTTAACTACCTTTTTTTCTCACTCCTTTTTCTAAAATGAATTAGTTTTAAAAATGTAATGTATTTTTTATAACTATCTGAAAAAAACCTAGTATCTAATAAATTGTTGCTCTTTTAAAATTACATTTAAAAAATTCTGATTTCCTCTTGTTACTTAAATAGGCAAGTAAGGAATGAAATAAAAATTTCATGCAGTATTTAATGCACATATAGCTGTTAAATTTACTTAACTGGGAGTTTTCTTTTTTTAAAAAAAAATAGGAATATAACGTAAATTAATTCCTTGAGAACATAGAATTGTTAGGAAATTTTTTATATTGGAAAAATCAGATTGATTTTCTTAATTGTAATTGTTTTACCATCCGTTACTCCCACCTTTTTTTTTAGATGAATATTGATCGTCAAACAGTTGGAATATCGTCAACTTGGCAATACTTTGCTTGCATTAAAATTTGATCCAGTATAACCCTGTTAAACTAGAATGTCACGTGAAACTCTCCCATGTTTGTTAAATGAATTTAAAAACCTTTAACCGTTTTGGAGACTGTGGGACTATGTAGTTTAAGAAAGACATGTTGTGGTGCTGGTGGTGGAAGAAGGGGTTAGGATGTTTACTGCTGTTTATAAAAGTATGTTTTTTTTCTCCCAGTCCCTGAGCTGAATCCATTTATCATTCTAGTTTGTTTTTATGCTTTGAGTTTTTTTTTTTTTTTTAAATTTTTTCTATTTTTTCTCTATTTCTTTCTTTTTTTTTATTTCTAAAAATTAGTTGATTATAATTTAATAATAAATTTTATCCTGCACTCTTTTTCTAAAAGCTTTTGATCACCCCATCCAATGAAATTGTTGAATTATTTTTTCCCAGCTAAACCAACCAATCACTCATTTTCTTACAATTGCTAATAACAATGTTTGTTGGCTAATCGTTACAAGTGTTGCATTGATGCTTAGATTCTTAATTTCATTTTAACTTTTTATAAAAAAAAATTTAAACACAAATAGATCTTCCAACTATATGTTAACATTTAATTATACTGTTTTGTCCCCTGGATTGGTAGACTGAAGTAGACCAGTTTCGCCTGGTCTACTTCTTTAATTAAAATTCTCCTAGTTTTTGTACATTTTATAAAATTCCCTAAAATTGAGCCCTGCGGCAGAATCGTGGCGACATTGTTGCAGAATGTTACTGAGTTCTTGCAGAAAGATTTTTCCTTTGGTATGTAAAAAACTTTGATTTTCTCTTCTGCAGAGATTTTCGAAAGATTTTTTCTTTTCAGAATTTAAAAGGTACTTTTCTCGAGCATTGGAGTGGACATAAAATGTTTGTGATTTTTCTGTTCTCGTTTGAGAATAATGAAAAATAGTAATGAAGTAAAAAGTTTAGGTTTTCTTTTCTACAGAAATTTTAGTTCTACTTTTTTATGCAATTATTACTGTTGATTTTCGCATAGCTTCTAAAATCAAATATTTTTAATACTGTATTATTTATTACAACCACTGAATCTCAAAATAAAAACATGCATTTAATAATCCCTTTTTTAAAGAGTCTGATTTTCGTTAATTATCGATCAATCTTTTTTTTTTCTTTGGTAGTTACTGCTATGAATTTCGCGGTAATTTTTTTTAATGGGATGACAAAAAATATAAAAAAAATTGTCTTTTCCCCTTGCAAAATGTAAGAATATCAACATAATATTAGAATTAAAAAAATATATTACACATTCAATGAAAAGGTTTTTTTTTTCTTTGAAGTTGACGTTTCTGTTACTTTAAATTGGTAACATGTACATTTGTAATTTTTAAAAGTGTCTTCCAGAAAGATAGAAAGATATTAGTATTAAATTAGAGAGGTGTGTCGCAGATTATTGCTTGCTTGAATATTTAAATAAGTATTACTAATACATGATGAAGCGAACCTCATTTACAGAGATTAGTTCAAAACTTTTTTTATTTAGAACTGTCTTTTTTAATTAATTTTAAAGAAATCTTTTAAGTATCTTTGATGAATTAAATGCCTGTTAGCATTCGAAATTATGAGTAAACAGACTTCATACATTTCAAGCATGTTTAATGTCAATCATAACTGGAAAATATTGCAGTTTTTGCTATTTTGATGACTATAAAAATCTAAAATTCCCTATGTTTGAAACATTTTGTACATCTTGCAACAACTACAGTAGGGAACCGATTATCCGGAACGATCGAGACCATCGCTATTCCGGATAACTGATTTTTCCGGTTTTCTGAATCGCTACAAAAAGCTGTTTTTTTATTGTTAAACCCAACTAAAAATAGAAAAATATTTAGAAATAATCTTAAAAACAAGAAGAAAAAACGATGAAGTAATACACTGATGATTATTTCTAAAATGATGGTAAGGTAAACATCTTTCAAAAAAGAAAGAAAAATCCTAAAATCTTATGAGGAAAAAAAAATTTTTTTTTTTTTTTAATAGCGGGAAAATTTATCGAATTTCATTCCGGTTTTTTGGTTTTCCGGTTTTCTGTTTCCGGATAACGGGTTCTGTACTGTATCATGAAATTCATATTATTTCGTAATATCTACTGGGACTTTTCCTGTTCATGCTGGCAGCTATACTTCTAATTCTGTAAGAATGATAGTGGGTGTGCTTCAAGGTTGCTACATGCTTAAAATAATTCTTATTTCATATATTTAGGGTGTTCTGCTTTCATCTAAAAATCCTCTTCTGAAAAATATCACTGACTATTTGATTGAAGAAGCCAGCGCAGAGGAAGAAGAGCTTCTTGGCATGGCTGAGAATGAAGCTCGGGATGGCGAAGAAGGAGGGTGCACTCTTGAGAGAGATGAATCCTTGATCAAGGTTTTTTATTTTTTTAATAAGTTTCAATTTTGTATTTTTAGAAAAAATTATTTAAATTAAAGTGTTAATAAAAAGAAATCAGTGTATAATGAATGTAATTCAATGTCATCTGATATTTCCCCATTGTTGAATCAAATGATATTTCGAAAAGGAAAAAACAAATTTTTTAATTTAAAATTTAAGTTACCTTTATAAATTCTTCTTTTTCTGTTCAAATTTATTCCATGGTATTGAATTATGACTTGTAGTATTGTATAAACTATAGTTTGATACTAAATTCGGGCACCTGTGATTACCCAAATTTTAAATAATTGATATCAATCAATAATTGTATCAATAAATAGCCATGATATTCATATTCCTGATTTTTTTTATTATTATTTTCCCCTGATTTTAATTTTTTTTTAAATCGTTCATGTCGTAAGGTTGTTAAATACCTCATTACTGTAAATTTTTTATTATAAATGTTTGAAAGCTTACCTTTGATTGATAATGATTGAGGTTGAGTACTATCAAATTAGATGTTTCATGTGTGGATTATCAGGTGATTATTCACTGATTAGTTTACAAAAGTTCTGTTTTGTCAATCAAGCTATTTTCAATTTTGCTATCCGAGTCTTTCGTGTTTTATCAGTAGTTTTTTATCTGATTGTTTAATCTTATTTTATATATTGTTATAAATTCTTTTTTTCTTCTGTAGTTTGATGCTAAATTCAGACTCCTATGATTACCCGAACTTTGAATAATTGATATCAATCGATAATTGCATCAATAAATAGACATGATATTTTTCGTATTCCTGATTTTTCTTTTTTATCACTTTTTTCTGTTTTTATATTATTTTTTTTTAATCGTTTATCCATTTTATGTTGTAAGGTTGTTAAAAACCTCATTACCTAAATTTTATATTTTAAACGGCTGAAAGCTAACCATCGATTGATAATAATTGAGGGTGAGTACTGGCAAATTAGATGTTTCAGTGTATCAGGGGATCATTCACTGAATAGTTTACATAAGTTCTGTTTTGTTAATCAAGCTATTTTCAGTTTTGCTATCTCAGTGTTTCACGTTATTTTGGTAGTTTTTTATGTGATAGTGTAATTTTATTTCATAAATAAAATTTAATCTTATTTCATGAATGAAACTTATCCAGCATTTGTTTTCGACATTTGCTATTTGTTATTAGTAAACTAGGGCTAACAGCAATCTTCTTGTCTAAATGACTTACTATAAATTAATTATTAACCAATGTCGTTCACTCAATGGTCTTAGCAGTTTTTCAAAAAAAAAAAATTTTTTTTTTTATTTTACTTAATTTTTCACCTTTTTTAAAAAATTAATTGACTGACCCGCCGAAAAAAAATTATCACCATTTCTCTTGAAATTATAATAGGCGATACCAGCACTATTAAAAACTTCTACAACTTCCTGGCAAAATTGATAAAGAAATACAGTATAGGACCCCAAATTCGGTACTCACGGGACCGACAAAATTCCGTATTTCTGAATTTTGGATCTCTTTCGGAAATTCCAATATGGCGCCCATATATTACGATAATTCAATTATCCTCTTAATTTCAGAAAATTAATTAATTCCGATAAATTTAGTTAAGTTTTGATCGTAGATTATGATGGGATGACTTTGAAACTACTCCATCTTAAGAAATTTTATTAATTAAAATAATAATCTATGTAATAGAAATAACAACATATATTTTTTATAAGCTAACAACTAATAACAATTAAAAAAAAAAGCTGACAACTAATAACGATTTTAAAAAAAGCTATCAATTAAAAAAAAAATAATTAACAGCTAATAACTAATAAAAAAAACAAGAGTATAATTTACATTGAATAAAAAGAGCCACAAAGGAAATAGGATTCATTTTGTAGTTTCAATGTCCACTGGGTGTGGTCAATTTATGGTCAAATGTGAGAGGGACAAACCAGTAGAGCACTTGCACAGCTGTCAAGATTGATTGATCAGTTTCTCCAAACTCGCATTTCTTTATTTTATTCATTGGAAGTGCAAGTGTTTTTACTTTTCCCTTTCACTTTAATTTAAACTGCTATAGGAACAGATGTTTCCTTTGACACAGATTTATTTTTTTCATGTTTTATTTATTTTTAAGAGATAAAATAAAGTTACTTACTTCAACAGAATAAAACTCCAAATAAATCGAGAATATAACTGATTTTTTTTTTCTCTTATCAAAATTTCTTTTAGAAAAAAAAAATATTTTAAGTGCTGAATTTCCGGATGCCGGATTAGGAGCCCCATACTGTATAACAATTTTGGTGCAGTATATTTTTGTTAATGAATCTGTTTTTATGCACTAGGTGTTGGACAAGCTCCTTCTGTATCTGAGAGTGGTTCATTCGGTGGATTACTACAACAGCAGCGAATATCCCAGTGAAGACGAGATGCCCAACCGTTGCGGCATAATGCACGCCCGTGGTTCTCCTCCATCCAGTAAGGTTACGCAGCAAGAGATCAATGACTATATTTCACACTTTGAGATGAAGAGTCAGGTGTTCTTGCAAAATCCAACCCAGCTAGATGAAGAAGAATGTGTGAAACTTGGCAAGAGGGATCCAGACACTGAAGTGGAGAAATTCATACAGGCAAACACTCAAGAACTGGCCAAGGACAAGTGGCTGTGTCCTTTGTCAGGGAAAAAGTTCAAGGGTCCAGAGTTTGTCAGGAAACACATTTACAACAAACATGCTGAGAAGATAGAAGACGTTAAAAAAGAGGTATGAACTTAGAAAGAATTATACTCAAGATTGTACATAAATTATTGTTTTTTTTGTTTTTCTTTAATTGGGATTTTTGTTCCCATTTTTTCTCTTTGTCTTAAAGTGTTTTTGATCAGACATCTGTTTTAATGTTTTATGGTTAGGGCCCTATAAATTATGCGGAAATTTTTTAAAAATTATGCGGCTAGGATGCGGTGATTTTTAAAAATTATGCGGCAAGGATGCGGTGTCTTTTAAAAATTATGCATGCAGGTTGCGAATGACCCAGAAAGCAATTGAAACTAAAAAAAAACTCTCTTAAAAAGTTCAACTTTCTTTCCTGTTTTAATAAAAAAAAATTTCAATGAATACAGTAAAGATTTCAACTAAATTACCTTCTTATGTATTGTACATCCATTTTTTGCATCAGAACAATTATTAAAGTTTATTAAAATGGAGAGAAGTTAGTCTAGAAGCTGCGTTTTCTTTCTAACTCTGTCTTTGTTTTGTAAAAATTTGGCCGTAGCAGGATACAGCTCTTTCATAATCTACTGAATTAGGAAGCACTGAGAGCACTTGTTTTGCTTTTTCTGTAAGTTCTGGAAATCTCTCTGAGACTACCTCTGAATTCCAGAATCTAATTAAGTCCTGGTTTGAACATTCTTTTACATATTCTTTGTAAGCAGCATACTCGAGTTTTATATCTTGACCACTCATTCCTGGAATATTCTTGAATACATCGTCGTCTTCAATATTGAGGTTGACTATTTGTTCTGGATCGAAAACTCGAGCAGCTTTCATGAAGTTTAATGCAGGTTGACTAAACTTGGGCCCGCGTTTTTTGAATACGTCTAGTTCTGGAGAGTAGTAAGTATTCAACTTTGCAATTGTTTTGTGAAACACTTCTTGAAGAAATACGTTGCGTGAATCTTTTCGTGAGTATGATGCCTGAGAATTACATCGAAGTTTAGACCGCAGATCAAAAATCTTATTGTAAGCTTTGTGAATAGATACACCACATGTTTCGAAAAAGAGAAGAGTATCCATTAATATCTGAGCGTGTTCTGCAATGAACTGAAAGTCTTTGC